CAACACGTGGATTTACGTTCCCCCCAGTTGGGGTGGGAGCACTGGAAAGGCTCAGGAAAAGGATCTGGAGATGCCTGGAGAGAAGCCGCCACTCAATTAGGCATCTTGAATGGAGGGGAAGAGGAGAGGGCTGAAGTCTCCTGCATCTGGGAGTGGTGCTGCAGAGATGGGAAATGTTATGTAATTAAACTCCGCTGGCCTGTCCTGCCTGGGGAATGTGAGGCCCATCAGCAGTGACTTCTCCCAATCAACTTAATTGGCCCAATCTTGCCAAGAAAAGCAACAGAATTGGTTTAGTGCCTCATGGAAATAGCTTAGCTCCTGACTATTTATGGCCACTGAACTTAAGGATGGGAGCCTGACTCTGAGCCAGGAGTTCACAGCCTGTGCTGGCTCCTGGAAGGACTCTGAGGCTCAGTGGGTTTCTGTGTCCCTCTGAGTCTCCATTATTGTCTTTGGGGGAAATGGCTGCACCAGCCTGCTGCCCTGGGGGCAGAGCATTTCACACATCCAAAGCCCCTGCCCTCCTCTCACCAGGGAAGCACTTGTCTGCCAAGGACCCCAGTGTAGAAAGAACAGACCTTGATAGTAACCACCCAGGAGGGCTGGGTTTTGCTTCTCTTTAATTTAAAATGTAGATATGCAGGGATAATGACTATTTTTTTCTGTTCTGTAAGTCACATTTGTTTGAACACCTGCATACACTGTTAAAGAATAGGAACTCTGTTCCTGATAATAACATTGGTTTTGGGGACCACTTTTCTTCTGAACACTCAAAAACCTTTCATGCGTATAGATTCCATCAACTATCATTATATTTGGCCACCTCTGCTTTATGGAAGAGTAAACTGAGGCAGTTCCAGTTACATGTGGGTAGGTAACAAGCAGTGAGCATCAAGACCACTTTGTTCGTCTGCCACCAGACAGGCAAAGAAGAGGTATGGATTCTAATTGTGGTTAAATGCACAGCACTACCTGTCTGGAAGCCACTAGACTTCAGCTCTGAGAGGGCCTTCAGACTCCTAAACACAACAAGCTTGATTAGTGGAAAAATAGAGCGAATTTTCCTCCTTGTTGAGCTATGACAAACAGTGCTACTTTTTTGTAAGAGTTGGGGAAGCTCAGCAGGATAGAGGACCGCCCCAGAGTCATGTTACTCTGAAGGGGCAGTGCTGGCCTAGAATGGAGACATCCTCAACTGGAAGGCTTCTTCTTCCACTTCCCCTGCCACTCTTGAAATACAGACCATTGGCATCACTATAAGCTTATGAATTTGAAAATTCCGTGAGTCTAGAAAATCACCCCAAATACATGCTCTCCCATGATTCAAACCTCATAAATGAGGCTCCTTGGTCTTACGCACACACACATAAACACACACATACATACATAAACACACACACACACACACATAGTTAGGCAGGTATGGCACCTGGAATGACACCCCTGTCCTCCTAGGTACAGCACCTCCCTGGTTCACCAGCCAGCCTCTCTAAATGCTAAGCTCTTCTTTCACAGGCTCCTTTGCTACTTAAGAAATAAGCCTGAGCAGACAAGACAATTCCGACCAGCCTCTCAGGATTCCTGCAAATACACATACCCACTCCTTACACAAGCCAGAATACACACCCCTCCCGTGTTCTTTGCTAGCTTTCTTCCAGGTGCACTTAACTCCAGTTCCATGACGTATGCCTGTGTGTACACCCACGCGCACCTCCACACACCCCAGGTCAGTTTTACACTCGGTCTAGGAAACATCAAACGTCGAAGGAGAAAAATGATTCCAGTCCCTGTCATCTCTGACCATGGCTTTAACCTCCAACTCCATGAAGTAGTTCTTCTCCCTTCTAGAAAGCAGGTATTGCACAGTCTCCAAATTCAATCTTCCAGTGCAATCCAATGTATGCTGGATTACAGGTCCCCCCTCCCCTAATTTCCAGCCCAAACAACAAACAGTAACACCTTCAACTCCCAAAACTATACATAGTCCCTAGCTTTATGCTCCCTTTATCTAAGACCATAGATCTGTTTCAATAGGTCAGCTTCCCTCTGGACCCCAAAATCCATTAGCCTCTGTAGGAACAGAATTAGAGATGAAGAAAGTCCAACTAGCATCACCCTGTCCTCAGTCCTCTTGAAAAAACTGCAGCAGTTAACTGAGCCCTGAGAAGGAGCTTTTCCAGGGCACTGTGCATGCCCTAGCACCCAGTGACGGGTTGAGCATTCAGCAGGCACCCCTACATTTTATTTGATAGCCAGTATTAATTGGTGATAATGAATTTCTCTATTAAATTGCAAGTCCTTATACAGCACAATGCAACATGCTCCACGAAGCATGCAACATATTCGACTCGTGCCAACCTCGTGCACACATTCTTCCATCCAGTGCCAGCACAGAAGGACTTTTCCCCTTAAATGTACATCCTTCATTCTAACCCTTCTCCAATTCCCTCTTCTCTGGGGAGGCAGGGAGAAGCAGCCGTCACAGACTGGCCCTGCATCGTGCCTGGCCTCTTCATCATGAGCGTCTGAGCCCACCCTCCCCATCCCAATGCCAAAGAGCCAAATTTCCCAGCACAAACTCAGAAAGTTCTCATTATTCTTAAATAAGCATCCCTTTGGCAATCCTCAGGCACACACCACCCCGTCCACCTTGCACTCCCCCACCCTCCCACACCACACCCACTCCATGTGTCTGTGTAGGCACGCACAAGCCATCTGTCTAACACCCTCTACCTCTCCTCCCGCTCTGACACCCTTCACAGGCACAGATTTCTCATTAGCTACACCTATGTTCCCAGATACTCATCTCCTGCTAGTCATGCATATGCCCATCCCGGAGACTCCTGGGAAATGCACCCCACGGCAGCACTCCAGCCCCCTCGCACGCACCCTCTTCGACACAAAGTTTCCCAAACCTGCCCATCCTTCTCCCATCCAACAGAACACCCCAAGTTCATGGTCTGCCCCCTTAGGAAAGGAGACGGCATTCACAGCCAGTCAAACCCTCCACGTTCAGCCTCAGGGCAGCCCTCACCACTTACTTGCACACTCTTTCAATGCAGCGGCTCCTTGGAGATTTTCTCCTTTCCTCCAGCACAGTCCACAGAGCCTGCTTTCTTTTCAACCACCACACCCCACGCCCTAGCCAGGTCTAAGCGTTTGAGCCCACCGCAGGGGTTTTGGGATTTTGTCCCCCTGAATTCTACCTCTCCACTTTCTTTGTGCAAGATGTCAGGAAGCAAATGGGGGCGGGAAGAAACCGGGCAGGCTGTGTATGCTGGCGACTGTCTGAGTGTGGAAACCGAAGCGATTGAAAAGTTCCCTCTGTGTTACAACTTTCTCCCCAGCTGACTTGGGGCTGAGGGCTTACTGCTTTTCTTGTTTGCCATTCTGCAGGGCTCTGCAAGCCTGCATCCCTCTATTACAAAGCAGATCGCTCATTCCGCAATCCTGCGCGTTAACAAACATCAGACTCCGGGAGTGACAGTCACCCTCTCTTAAGCCCCCCTCCCGCTGCCGCCCCCACTCCCACCCCCAACTCTTTACACACATAAACAAGTCCGCCCGCGCGCAGTCTCCGAGCTCTCCAGCCTGAGCTCAGCGCTTCGAGCTGCATCCAGGCAGCTGCCGTCTCTCTAACTCTGAACCTGCAGCCCACCGCCGCAGTGAAGACGCCGATTCGGTTCGGCGTTCCCCTCACCTGGAATCCCTCCAGCCACGGATCCAATGAGAGGGATCCTTACTAGTAGGCTGTACCCGACCGGTTCCGCGCGGGGGTCTCAGCTCCGAGCATGTGAAGTGCAGATCCAGAACGCAGCCGCCCAACTCCCCAAAGACGCTGCGCCGCCTCGGCGCACCCACCCGCGCCCAGGGCAACCAGCAGAGTCCCCTCCCCCACGAGGCCCCTCCTTTGCTGAACCTTCAACTCTCCAGCGCCCCAAATTTCGTTAGGAGTTTGAGTAGTGCTCTGGGGCAGTGGAGCAATTTGATCTTAGAGGGTCCTTTTAACTCCAACTTAGAGCCCCCCGGACCCGGGGTCTCCCAGCCTCCTCTCATCTCCGCACAAATTCCTAGAGCTGGCTGGAAGAAACCGCGAGGAATTCCCCGGGGATGGCCGGGTCCCGACGCCCGTGCGGGGTCCCAGATGCACCGACGGCGCTCGCGGGGCTCCAACATCTGTGGAGGCCGGGGTGGGGGGCAGCGGAGCAACGGGTGCTACCGAGACAGTCCGGTAGCGGGCTTGCTGAGGAGAAAAGCTTCCGGCGGAGGCAAGAGGACCCCAGAGCTGGTCTGCTGGCGGAGCGAGGGCTCCCAATTCCCCCAACTGGGAAGGGACCGTCCAGGTCAGAGCTCTGAGCCTCCTCCCTGCACACACCCGAGCCCGCGGAGGGAGAAGCGTGCCGAGAATCCCGCACAGTGGGGCACTAGCGCGGGGCGCTCGCCTGCGAGCGACCGCGGCACTTTGGCCTCATCCACGCCGGGGAATTGTCCGCCACCCCCTTTTGTTACAAGATGCACCAGGAACTTTCTCTGGAGGAGCTGATGAGTGTGTAGGCGGAAGGGAGGGGGGGGCATTCTATTGAATCCCTTTTCCTATCCTTCCGTGGTCCCCATTTCCCCTCGCCTCCGCGCCCACCCCCCAATCCAATCCAGGTTTCTTAAACCTGATCACTTTCCCAGATTTTGGACGGTTTCTCGGGCAACCCAGGGACCAGAGAGAGGAGGTGAAGAGGGGTGTGTGTGTGTGTGTGTGTGTGTGTGTGTGTGTTCTCGCGCGCGTGTGTTGGGGGTGGCTGTGGTTGTGCCCCGGGTAGGGGAGATCCCTGCGTAAACTTCGAGGAAGGTACAAACCCGGGAGCGTGAGTGCGGGGGCGATGGGAATGGGGGAAGGGTGCGGAGTAGACCCCCTCCCCCGGCCCGTGCCTGTGCCCTGGAAAGTCACCCCACTTAGCCCTCCACCCAGAACCTGCCCACCTAACGTGCCCGCCTCCCCTTACCGTGGCAGAAGTAACCATGGCATCCGTGTGACTGTTTCCAGGGACGTCGACATGAAGAGAAAGGTGGACGCGAGTTCAGTCATTCAAAGTTTCCCCCACCCCGCCCGCCACTACCCAGCAGGGGAAAAAAAAGAAGAAAGAAACGGGAAGAAAGTAGTTGCGCCAGGCGCTCTCGCGGGGCCGTGCGCTGAGCTGCTCGGTAGAGAGAGGAGCCTTCAACTCAGTCCCGTGAACATAATCTGCGCGGTTATAACCAGCCAACCCGGCCAGATGGCTCCTTGCTCAGCGCCTTAACCCCTTGCGCGCCGCGCCGCCCGCCTCCGCGCCAGGCCTGCCGCGCCCGCGCGAGCCTGCATCTAGGCGCTTCTACTCGGGCCTGGGGGCCAGCGGGGAAGCGGGTGGGGGGATGGGGGGGTTTCTCCTAGACGCTCTCAAACGTGCTCAAAACTTCCCGATTAGTAATATGCTTAAGAATCCCCCCTGACTTCCCCTTCGGAGATCCAGGAATCAACGAAAAAGTCAACTTTTTATTACATGTGGCATGTTAATGTCGTTTGTCTGTTTTATTTGTTCTTTTTCTTGAAAATTTATTTTTGATCTGTTTTCTTTTTCCGTTAAGGGTTTCTATACAAGGTAACAGGGCCTTTCCTGCCTCTCCACTAGCAGCCTGGGTCTAATGTGTAAACTCCTCCTCCAAACCTTAGACCCCTCCAGCTCCAGATCCCTCCCCACCCTCTACCGAGCCCACCCGTACCTCCTTCCCCCACCTCACCACACGAACAGGCCCAAGGAGAATCATTCCCCTGCGAGCTTACTGTTCCCTCCCGTGGTCCAGAACCCAGGGCCAGAGTCCCGAGCAGGCGATTCTGGGGGACCTAGTCAGAAAGGTATGGGGGGAGGGCGTCGGGA